CAAAGCTGAGCGCAGAAGTGCCAAGGAAGAAAGAGGCAAAAGAAAGAGCAAGGCTGGTGAAAAAGGCATTGCCAAAGGTTAAGATGAGCCGTGGTCACTGGTTAAAAAGCTTATTAAACAAACAGAGGCATCAAATTTATACGTGAGCCATCAAATTTCTCTCCAAACTCAAAAGCATGGAGAAAACATTGTCACATGTTTTACTCAGTAGCTCCATTTGCTTCATTTTCTTCCTTCCCTAAAAGTACCATTTTTGAACGATAATGGAGTTTCTGATGCTGAGGTATGTCTTTGTATAGTAATCATGGCAAATGGCTTATTGTAGCCTTATATCAAGTGGGTTACAGTGAATTGCAATCAAAAGCTATTAATGGTATGAAGTTTGTCTATAGAGTAACTTTGTAATAGACTATAATTTCTATTTTTCGACGAGCCTTCTGAATCTTTTCTTGATTGATAACAAAAGCGCAGGGCCTAGAAGTGGCCATGTCGTGACTATAGCAATGTATGCTAATAGCCAGATCGATTTCTGGCTGTATCTTGAGAGCTGATCCACTCTCTTCTTCAAAGGACCGAGTAAACTGTTATAACCTTGAGGAGAATTGTCCTTATGTGGATGATGACTTGCCTTTTCAATTCGAGCACTATTCTCTTGTTCTGAATCAGCTCTTCTTGTCTCCACTTCACTTGCTGCAGCAGCAATCATCCCATCTTCTCCAGTATCCACAACAAATGGTCCCTGATCTATCGAAGATTCCAATGGTTCTGGGATGATTTGCGTCTGAAAGAATGATATGATGAATGTCTTAGAGGAGACTAAGAGTAAATCATGTCATGGTAATGGACAAAAATTTCATTTCTCGTGTACCTTCTGTCTTCGGTCCGCATAGGGGCTAGAGAGTAGCACTTCAAAATATTCTTGCACAGCCCTAACCCACCTATACCATTACAATTCACATATTTCATTTACACATAAGAAAGTCCTTGTGGATAGGGTCTGAGATGAGTATCTAAGAGCACGGGTTTACCACAAGCTTGTTGCTGTAATCCCTTCATAGTAAGCAAGATGACCACCATGTGTTGTGGTTGCCAGAACTATGTTTTTGTTTCCCCTGCAAGTTGAGACATTGGAACATCAGTTTCATGATACATGGAGACCCAACACAACGCGCTACATAAAGATATAACCTAGAGACTCATCAAATTTCGCCAACTGTGCCTAAAGCCATTCATTTCCTACTTTAGCCACACACACAGACATAGAAACTCTGTTTAACAGAATCATCACCAACTCAATTTTGCAACGGTAATCTTGCGAAAGCTTCTAAAGCACCCAAGAGAAAACCCAAACAACAAAAAAAAATATTAACGACTTCTAGTGCCAAAACTGGTTCCCCAAATAAACAGACATCCAGTCACATCCCTAGTTATACTAATTGTTCCCTCTCACTATCTTCTGAATGTTAGTGAGTAACGTGGCATTACTTAACAGCTGAATGTCTCTTCAAAAAGACTTATCAGTAGCCCTAGAATAAAGGAGAGCCTGAGTACAATGGAGTCGACCAGAGGAATATTGACGCAGATTAATCTAGTCCATCAGCAGCAGAGTTGAATACTGAAGGAAATCATGATGAACGGGTAAAAGCAAAGAGATTCTTACCTACATTCATCCCAAGGAATAGCTTCCCTAGTACAAACTGGATCATCCAAAGCACTGATACAAAGGAGCGGAACAGCAACATTTCCCACAAATTGCGCACTGCTTGAATGTCTATAGTATGTATCAGTTGTCTGCAGCATTAAAAGATTGGATTGTCTACTGGTTTAATGGAAAGAGAGGATATATAAATAAAGAATAAAGAGTATATGAATCAAACTGCACCTCGAATTTGCCAACAAGTCTGGTGGCGTAGTTGTCAAACTCTCGAACTGAACGTGACTAAAACAAGATACGAAAGGAGTGAATCTTCTAAGTCGATTTACTTGATTTGGCAAATAGATTTGAAAATCAGAGTCTACCTTCTTAATGCCTTCCCAATCGGCTATACGAGAAATAATGGAGTGGTGCCTGTAGGTAAAACCATGTGTAAGGGAAAACGAGATGACTACAGCAAGACAAAAGTAGGTGAAATTACAAAGTTAACAATACGACACAAGAGTTTAGACATACAATTGTGCATAACCTTGTAGACCAACTGTAAGCACTCTGTCATACAATTTTTGCACAAGTCTGCGGTTGATAAATCGATCACATATCTGCAAAGAATAGCATTTTAAACAGTAAGGCATGGTAGTTTTTTTCTTTTCTAGATTCTCTGGACCAATTATTTGATTTTGGGGATAAAATTCAAAACAAATGTAGAATTGACAGTAATTATACTAGAAGCAGGAACTTGTCAAATAAAGAGAATGAACCAAAAATGGAAACTGAAATGAAGAGAAATATCAAGGAGGATACAACTTGAGATCAAGAAAAGCAAATAGCTTATCAAGCCCAGCCATGTTATATTAAAGTATTTTAAGGATGATGATGTGAAACAGAAAATGAAGAGTTGTTTTCACTAGTAAGTTTAAACAGTTAGCAATATCACATAATGTCAGTAAGACTGGACGTGAGAGTCTACTGACCAAAAGATCCCAAGGAGAGCACACAGCAGTAGCTCCAATAAGAGGTGTATGAGGCCCATCCTCCCCAAGATATTTTACCTGGAAGAGGTTCCAATTATGAAAGTAAGAACACACATGAAAGCCCCTCAATTTCATTGTGATCAAACAACTTGTGTGGAACGTTATGCCCTCAGGACAAACAATGATCCCCACAACATTTCTATCCTATGATGCAAGAATAAGTGAATCAAAGGTAAAAGAGAAGCGATGTACCAGAACGTTGGCACCAATGCTAGTTCCAACAGCAAACAGAGGAGCTTCAGGGAACTGAGAATGGATGTGATCAATTACTTTCCGAAGATCTTCTGTCCAGCCAGCATTGTAGACGCAGTCAGACTGATTAATGATTTAAAGAGCCAGTCATCAGTCTATGAATAATAATTTTCCAATCCACATGCATGATTCAGTGAATTAACCTAGAACAAAAATAAAGAGAAAGAATCTCACAGTTAAAGAAATCCCTCCAAGTCCACGATGGTTGCTGACAACAACATTCCATCCTTCCTTTGCCAGCCTGAAGGCAAGATGCTTAATATACTGCGGAAAGAAACAAGGTTATGAGTTAAGAGATCAATGGAACTGTCGTA